GGTGTTAGTGGTGGGTAGTAACCATGGTGAAGAGTGAATGTGGTTTGAGCAGATTTGGATTTGTTAGCTTTATTGTGCCATTTGTTTAGCCACACTCGGATGCTATCTTGATTTGTTTGCAACGGATTAATAGCAACTGTTGGGTCTTTACTTTTAGCCATCATAACAGTGTCATCAGCAAACGTTGCGGTATACGTTCATAAATTAAGTGTTAAGGCAACTCTGAACAGTGTGTAGAGGGTTGGACCTAGCACACAATTACTCTATTAATAATTTTCATACTATAATAATATTATACTATTAATAACTATTAAGACAAATAAAAAGGCATGTTATAACTGTGGTTGAAAATATTAGAAGAACAATATTAAGATGACTGTTTAAAGTACTAGATAACCAATATGTTAACAAAATGTAACAAATTATTCGTAACTCTGAGTGAAGTGAACTTGGTCACATTAGTACGAAACTAAATTACAATTAGAAATTTAAGATTAAACTTGGTAATTACAGATTTCGAATCATAAGGAAGTATACTGGTCATGACAGACAATATTCGAAATTGCATTAAACGTTTCTAACTGCCATTGATACAGTTAACATACAACTATTACAATATGTTTAATTTATTTATAAGCATAAAACGTATATTATATAGTTGTTAACACATTTAGTTTTTATGAGAAAATTTATGTAAATAAAAAAAATGAAACACTATATGGTATTATATCAGGAAAATAGAATAGGAGCAACTTAATCCAAAATAAAACAGATTTCTCATAATTTTTATTACATAAATAAATTTTTTATACTAAAAACAAATATCTTGCTTTTATTTCAATAAAGCAATTATTTATTCAGTAAACACAAAAAATTAAACACAAGTAATAAAAAATTTATCTCTCGTGAAAATTCGACAATTTTAATTTTGTACAAATAAATGAAGTAGAATGAAAATGCATTGAATTAAATTTTGTGATTAAAATTCGTGTTTATTTTTGACAAATAATAAAATTATATTTATTATTTCCGTTTGATTTTAATTGGAATAAATAAAATAAAATATTTCTATTTCCTTGTTAAATGAGTAAGCTATACTAAATATGTTTGTAGTAAAATTACTAAAACGTAATTACATTGAACTAATGCTAATTTACTAGGAGGATTGATATATACCCGGCTCTTTGAAAAATTATATTATATGCTACTATATGGTACACTTTTTGCTCAACACGCCGACTCCATCGATTTTTCAACATTTGGATATCTTTTAAATAATACGATTTATCAAGTCCTCCATAATATACTTCAGTTTCCCATTCCACTTCATCATTTGATGCAAATCTCTTTTCCTAGAGCCATCTGTTTCAAGTTTGGAAACAGGTAATAGTCACTGGGAGCTAAATCTGGACAATACGGTAGGTGAGGAATCAATTCGTACCGTAATTTATTTAATTTTGTAATGGTTTTGATTGACAAGCGTTACTCTTGACAAGCATGAGCATTACTCTGAAATAACAAAATTATTTTCTTCGACAAATGTCGAAAACCCAAATATTCATGTAAAATATTCAATACACGTTCATATGATAAGTTTGTCATCTCTGCTATTTCACGCAATTTAATTTTTGGATCATACAACACAATATCTTGGAATATTTCAATATTTTTTTACCATGTCACAAAAAGTCGGAACGGTTTAAAAACATATATCACACATAAACCTCTCTTAGTAGAATTTATATTTTCAGAAATGTTCTTAGAAAATTAATATAGTATTTTAGCAAATGTTTACACCTCTTCTGCTTTGCGATCTGTTAAAGACAATTTTCACTTAAACTTTATTGTTTTAAAATTTAATTACTACCATTTTTATGCACTAACAAACTTTTCTTTGTAGCTATTTAAGTTCTTAAAGCACTTTGATAAAATGTTCCTCTTTTCATGAAAATTTTTCATAATTTTCGCAAAAGTTCCATTGGACTGTATATGTTGCATGCAGATAACCTTTTGTTCTATTCAGGAAATATGTCCTTAAAGTAGGATTTGCATATTCAATTTTTATCCGACGACCGCAGTTTCTATTATTAAATTTTATTGTTATTGAAATAATAGCAGTTTTATTAAAGAAATGTAGAGATTTTTTGTGATTTTATGCTTTTATTACATATAAAGTCTAGGTTCAGTTTTATGCAGCGAAACCGCAATCATTAAATTTAATTAGTTAATAAAAATGATGCTAATCTCTCAATTGCAATCAACGACAGCATCATTGTCATGAAAGCATTAAATATTAAATTAAAATATTATAGAGATCAAAAAGACAAAAGCTTGAATTTATTTTAATAACACGAAACAACTACATAAAAATTTAAAACCTGAAGGAGTGTTATTTTAGATGCAAGAACTTTATTCTTTTTTGTCGAAATATCATGATATTTTGACACAACATCATTGAATTAACAGGTAGATATATATAATTTGATATGTTTATTAAATAAATTTAAATGGTTTCAGGTTTTTACCTGTACATAAACAGGTAAACAGGTTTACATTGGATTCTAATCTAATTTTTGCGATAGATACATTCATAACAAATTAAAGTAAAAAATCTTGTAACCAAAAATGATGTATGCAGTCAAGAATTGGTTTGGTATTAGATAAATCAATGCGTTTAAATTACGCGAAATATTTTCCATAACATATAACATCATATAGTGATGTTGTCGATGACAAATTCTGTCATCGATTGATGTGTTCCGCTTTTCATAAGATACTTTTATTGCCTATTAATAATTGGTCATTAAGTTGAAGTATCACAACTTTTTTCGCAATAAGACTATTATTGGTCATTTCCAGTGAGAGTTTTGTTTGGATTTTATTTCGGGTAGGAGGATGAAACTGTTCACACTTCTTTCAAGTATAATATATTGTATAATATAGGCGAATGGCCAATGATTCAATTGTCACTCAAACCAAGTTAGATTTTCAATTGCTTCATTAATGTTTTTATTTTAAAAGAAGTTCAAATACCTTCTGCTCAAAAAGTATTCGGCTTTTGTAAATAAAACACACAAATTTAAATTTTATTCAAAATTTATTTTATCTCCTTCAAAATATGCTCCTTCTGAAGCGATACACATATGCCAACGCTTAACCCAATTTTCCATACAATTTTCGTACGCCCGTGCAGGTATGGCTTTTAGTTCCTTCGGCGAATTCTCCTTTACCGATTCAATCGACTCAAAACGCTTACCACGAAGGGGCAATTTGAGTTTCGGGAACAGGAAAAAGTCGAATATGGTGCCTGAGCGATGACAGTGGTGCTGTGTTTGGTCAAAAAATGGCGTACAATAAGAATTTTCCATAGTAAAAATCACTAAATGCACTTGAGGTAGTTTCACATTAACAGCTGCGGTAAACAAACTAATTGACAGATGGCGCTCAAATTTGTACCATATGTCAAGAAAGGATGTACAAACATAACAAAAAAAAAATTTTTTTGAAAAACGTCTATTACTTAAGGAGTAGTTAACAAACAACAAAATCCGGATACTTTTTGCGCAGAAGGTAGCAAATGGAAACCAATTTAAAACCAAATTTTAAACAAATCTGATGGGAAAAATAATAACATAAGCAGTGTTTAATAAAATAGACAACAACTAATTTTATCTAATTAATATATTTAATATCTATATCTATTTATTTTGTTTTTGTTGTTGAAAACTCCTAAGTACTTGCTGTTTTAATATAATTGCTAGTATTGGAAGTAAAACCAATTTATTTGAAATCCACTAGTGTAAAGCCCTAGACTAAATAGTCATATGATTAAAATATATATTCAACCTTCCAATTAATAGAATTTTGTACAAATTTTTACAAGCACAGACAAAATTTGAAAAAATTTTAACTTGCACGTCGTTATTTAATTTAGTAAATGCTTTTAAGGTTTCAATTTTACTTTTGGGAATTCTGTATCACATATTTTGTTTAATTTTTTATAAATTAATGTATTTTGTTTTGTATCAAACATATTGCTGATGATTTTTTTACTCAAATGTACGTAAAATAAGTGTTATATATCCCTAGCACGTCTACTGTTTCAATATTTTTTTTTAGCACATTTAAGATATTTTCAGACAAGAAAAAGTTGTATTTTTTGAGTAAATTTCTTTAAAATAAACTGTCAAAGGCATCATAAAAATCTTTTTATGTATTAAGATATTCCACACATTTATCTATTTGTTTTGAATTGTGAAAAGTATTTTTGCAGAATTTAACAATTTGCAATAACAACAATAAGCTTTATGAGGATACTTTAAATACTTTAAAATTATTCGACTGCTGGTTTATGATTTGGTTCTAAAAAACACAGTAAGTGAATTTGTTAATTTGTTTAACAGCAAATTAACAAAACACCAAAGTGAAAACATATAAATTAAGAACGGCTTTAAATCAGTTGGTTAATAACACTGACTTTGAGCTTCAAATTTGGCAGGGCACGAGTACCTTAGTACTTGCAGTCTCAAAAAATATTTTTGAATAATTAAATACAAAAAATATTTCCAAGACCACTGATGATGGGTATTTGCCAATACTCGAAACAGCTGTATGGTCAGCCAAAAATTCAATTAATTAAAATAATATAAAATGAATTTTTGTTGTTGTAGTTCACTACTGTTCGAAAAACCTCTTTAATAAATTATTATACAATTTAATATGGAGCAAAAACAACAAAAGTCATAGCTCAGTGCGTAAATATCCTTACTAAAGAATAATAATAATTTAATAATATAAGAACTAGGAGGATACTTTTAGCTTTAATAAATTGTCTTTATAACATTATACAGCTTGCATATTATGGTTTAAAGACCTACGAAAGTTGTTAAAAATG